TCCCCCTGATCACCGATCCGGACAATATGGACAAGCAGATGCTATTCCGGAAGCTGAACGGCGACGAGCGTCGATGCGTCAAGACGGAGACGCACCAGCCGCTCGTCGCCATCGTCATGAAGAATCTCAGCGTCGAGCGGCAGCTCGAGTGCCACGCGTTTATATGTCAGACGTCGGAGGACGCGATCGTGATCGCCGCAACGCTTTACAAGTCGCTAATGACCCACATGAAGTACAAAGATAGGAAGCCGAAGAATAAGAACGGCATTACGTGCATGTCGGTTACGTCGAGCGTTTTTAATGACAGTTCCACCAATTACGCCCCAATTAGGCCGCCGAGGAAGAAGAGGAGCACGTCTTCGTCGGCGGGCAGCGAGAAAGAGGGGATAGACGTACGTATTCTTGTTATTATCGATCAAATACTTTCATTTTAGACGTAATTAATGTCCCTTTTTAGGGAAATTTTTCGAAAGAAAATTGGATTGTGAATTGTCACAATTAACAGTAGGTACAGTGCCGGCCGTGTATGATTGTTTTTTAATCAGAGTTTCAAAAATGTTCCAAACAGAAGCAGAACTGGTTGATATGGAGTATATTCTTGGAGACTGTTACCGGAATTGTTTGTTGACGTCACAAGAGTAGGTACGCTGGGATAACAGTCTCCAAGAAGAAACACCATATCAACCAGTTCTGCTTGTGTTTGGAACATTTTTGAAACTCTGATTAAAAAACAATTATACACTGCCGACACTGTACCGGGTGACCCAATCAAACTGTTCCTCGGCCATATCTCGGGAAATGGTCGTCGTATGACTTAGGGATAAAAAAATATTGGGTAAATCGGTTATGAAGAAACGCTGGAAAATATTTACAAAGTTCTAAAAATGACCTGCACCAGAGGGCGTAACTGCCATCTTAAATTTTAAAATTATTGCATTGTCTTTAAATTTCGCATAATAAACTAAACTTTCTTTTTTCACATTTTTAAAGAGAACCAGTTTATCTATCTTTTTCGTAAAAACAAAAACTCAGTTATTTCAAAAACAAAGATAGCGTGGTGCGTTCAATTGTTTTTGCAATAACCTGCTTTAACTTCTTAACCGTTTGACCGATTGTAACAAATTTGGTATCGTTGAAAACAGCATTTTTTAGGCAACAAGAATCAACTTTGTTAGAAATCGGCATTTTAGAAAAGATTACAAATTCAAAAAACTGCACTTTCTGAATGTCAACACAGCAGAATAATTTACAAATTACGGCTGTTATTATTGTATAATGCATCGTGTTTCATTTGTTTAATTTTCCAAGGCCTACCTAAAAGTGTAGGGTGCTTTTCTTTCGCGCCATCGACAAATACCGGAAATACTTAAAAAGTAAACTTAAGATACAACTTAAGCATTTTTATTTATTTATTAATTAATCTCATTTTCCCAATATTTGAGGTTAGCACGAGATTTTGAAAAACGGTTTTCACTGGCCTCTTTGGATGTTATTTGGCTACTTTTTCATAAAGAAAAGGTCATATCATTCCATTTGATTTTTTTAATTTGTTTAGGATTTTGGGTCATAGTGTCAAAACTATCCCCCTGGCGGAGAAGGATTCAACTAAATTAACTATATTTTGGTTGATTCTCATTGCCCAAGGAATGCTCTTTTCAACCATACCACATTTGTTAAAATCGGTCAAACGGTTAAGAAGTTAAAGCAGGTTATTGCAAAAACAATTGAACGCTCCACACCATCTTTGTTTTTGAAATAACGGAGTTTTTGTTTTTACGAAAATTATAGATAACTGGTTCTCTTTAAAAATGTGAAAAAGATTAAAAATTTATTATGCGAAATTTAAAGAAAATCCAATTTTATAATTTAAGATGGCAGTTACGCCCTCTGTTGGTCAATTTTAGAACTTGAAAATATTTTTTTCATGACCGTTTTACCCAGTAATTTTTTTTACCCCTAAGTCATTTGACGAACGGTTCTCGGGATATGGCCGAGGAACAGTCTTATTGGGTCACCCGGTACTGTTAATTGTGAGAATTGAACATCTTTTGTTTTATCGTGGCACACTTGGATTCGAAAAAGAACGTTTTTTTTACAAATGACGTTTCGACTTGGTTTTTCTCTGAAATTGTCTTATGGAATGTGTGGGTTTGTTTATATCATTGGAAAATTTATAGTTTTGGCTACCCAGAGGTATAATTTGTTTAGGGGGGTGTCATTTGAAATGTTTAAAAAATATTGCATTTAGCGAAGGTCAATCAAAAATTTTATTTTTTCTATAAAGTACCTAAAAAAATTATGTGATTGTGGAAGAGTGCTTCAGCCCAAAAATTAGGCGACTGCGCGATTTTGTTTCTCTCAACAAAAATTTCGAAAAACAGTAAAATTTTGACGAAAAAAGTGAAATCGTTAAATTTAGGGGTATAACATGTTACATAAAAAAATAAGTACTTTTTAAGTACNACTTTCCAAATCAGTAATAAAATTTAGGGTGTTCCATTTACAAAAATGCAAGTTTGATCCGCCACTGGAATACAGCGCGCCCGTTTTACAAACATGCCGGCGATAATCGTGTACAATTTTGCTCTAAGACTTTTTTCGATATCTTTTATGGTATATGAGTTATGCTCCGAGGGATCTTAGGTGCTACACCCTGTATAACGAGCGATTCAG